AAAAAAAAAAAAAGAAACTAGATCAGAGTCCCCATTTACTTGTTTTTTTTTCGACAGAATGTACTTCAGTTCCAGTAAGCAGTCATAAACAACGCCGCACCCGTCCATGTGACACGAGCGTCACTAGCCGTGAAACTCACTTGTGGCTCTGCAGACGCAGAACAGCGTAGCGCGAGTCAATAACTTCAGCTTCACCTAACGCAGGGAGATCTGGTGCGTAAATAAAACGAACCGCGTCCGGCTGCAGGCGCAACGAGCGGCCAAGGCCAGAGCGAAGCAAACTCAACTTGATATCCTTAACAGTGACCGCTGCAGTGGGTTTCTCAACTAAGAGCTCCAACGGTCCTCGAGGGGTTAGCACTAGCACGGCGTGGCATGCCACATTAGGCACCAAAGACTGCTGTGTGGCGCCCGATGTGAAGAGCCGTGCGGTGAATATCAGCTGTGTCCCGTCGCTCTCCCATGGAGAGGTGATCTCCTCTTGTCTGTCGTCTGTTTCACATCGTTGCTGCTGCTTCGGCTGCAACGTGACGAGGTCATCACCGCTTGTACAGGCTTTACCTTCCCGGGGTTGGCGTGTCGAAACATATTCCTGAGTTGTCTGTGAATTCTGCTCACCCATAAGGCGGTTTCCATCGCCCGAGAAGGCGACCACGCTCAATGTTCCCACCTCCATGATGCAGGAGAGCATAAACTCCTGCAAACACTTCGTCAGAGGCATGACGTGCGGCTTCTTATATGTTTTCTTCGCTTCTGGCGGTATCCAATGCCCTTCAAGCGGCACGCCCCTCGGGTACGACTCCTGTAGGAATGATGGGAGATACATCTGACAGATGTCAGATACAATAGACGCCCGCGTACGCTCACACAGAAACAAAACTCCGATAGGGAACCCCCAGCGGACGTGACCAGTCACTGTCATCATCATCATCATCATTGCTGCCTCTGATGCACTCTGTGGGAGTCTCACCTCACCGTCGTTGATCATGCCTTGCAATGGGAAGACAATACCGCTCTCAGGAGGAAACTGAGCTGATTGCGAGGCGGAGACATCACTGTAGTTATGGTGTTGTGACGTGCCGTTCATATCAATCGCCAAGACAGCTTCCGGGCTAACAAGGATCCACACAGGCAACAAATCTTCCTTGCTGAGACGCGCCTCAGAATTTCCCTTTAAAAAACGCGTCACCCAGGCTCTTGTGTCGGCATGCCTAGCATCGTCTTTCACCAAACCATTAAGGACCTCGATCGCTCGTTCAAATTTTGCCCGCTGGGTGGAGGTGTCGAACATTGCTGCAGCTGTATCCGAAAGAGTCTCATCGCCACCAAGGGATGCCTGTTTTTTCGGGACGTTAGTTCTTGGAACGGATTGAGCAACTCGAAGCTCCTGCATTGCGCCGTTGTGGAAACGACCGCCACCTCCGCTAGACCTCGCGTTTGCGTTCTCCTTGGCCGCCAAGTTCGTAGCTTCTGGTATGAACTCTACTGGCGCTGTCGTACAAGATGCCGGCATGGAGAAAGAAGAAGACGCATCCTCACCTGTAATCGGTGCACGGTCTGTATCGTTTTCCGTCGATTTATGCTCGCAAGACGGCGCCGGTCGTCGCGTCAGTTTGGCGTCAGGTGTCTTACGTGCGTCTCCTAGAAAAAGGCACCCCAATCGATT